TTCCTTCAGTGCTTTTCCACTTTACAAATCCCTTTTAGTTGGGAATACCTGTCCGTGACTCAATTTGCTTTGGTGGACCTGGTCAAGCAGGAATGACTGCCTGGAAATATATAGTCCATCAAAAGAAGAGAGAAATTGGATGGTTGTGATGAGGGTTGAAGAGATGGTTCATGGGTAAAGGCACTTGCCATACCAGCATGAGGGCTTGAGTTCAAATCCCCAGAACCCATGTAAAAGCCTGATGTACCAGCATAAGTATCTTCAATTCCAGCACTTCTAGAGGGAGATGGGAGGCAGATACAGGAGATTCCCCAGAAGCTCATGGGCTAAAGAGGCTAAAGTCAAAGAACCTCTGTCTCAAACAAAGTAGAACATGAGGGGTGACACCCAAGGTTGTCTTCTGACCCCCATGTATATTTTATGGAATGCATGAATGTGCATGCACATATATTGTACACACACATACACAAATAAAAATAAAAAGCAAATATTAAGAAGTATCTGTATATGGGTTTGGTGAGATGGCTCAGAGGGTAGAGCACTTGCCATCAAGACAGATGGCCTGAGTTTGATACCCAGAATCCAAATGGTGGAAAGAAAGAACCCACAAGTGATTCCTGAAAGCTTTCATCTCATCTGCACATGTAGGGCTGCCTCCCGAGGGAGGGCTGGGATTAAAGGTGTGCAACACACACATACACGTACACACACACTTTTTTTTGGTCTTTTTGAAACAGGGTCTCCCTGTAGCCCCAGCTGTCCTGGAACTCACTATGTAGACCAGGCTGGCCTTGAACTCACAGAGATCTGCCTGCCCCTGCCTCCCAAGTGCTGGGATTAAACACACACATTTTTAAAAATGTAAAAAATTTAAAATATCTACATATGAAAAAAGTGAAACTAGATGGTTATGGTGAGATTTTTATTTAAAAGGTAGGAAGTAAAAACAGGACACTAGCCGAAAGAGAGAAAACTTCTCAAAACATTGACTTGCTACCATCCTTTTACTTAGGACATTCATGAAGAGACAGTTAAAGAACGTTAGAGCAGAAGTTGAGTGGAGAGAGCTCTAGTACCCACTTTCCCATTATTGCTCATTTGACCTCTGGTTTCAGTTCTCTCACCCATGAGATTAGGGGACCTTTCCCACTACAAACTGCTATGGTCGTTTGTGGTATCATGGGTCATTATTTGGAAGAGACTAGCTTCGGGAACTACAAAAACGTATGGTAGGAAGATCAGGGTTTTCAGATCATTGATCTTTAATTGCACGTGGACTCAAGAAAAGAATTGTAAAAGGCTATGTAGATCTTACCTTTTCCCATACACGTACAGTCAGACAATCATTGGAAAGAGACAGCCCCATTCATCATGTATGTAGTTGCACAGGACGTCCTCCATATAAAGCTACTTTGTCATCTGGCTTGGTAAGCCTGTAATCCAGCCCTCCTTCTTACCCAGTTTCTGTGACCTGATTTAGAGCTCTGTCATCTCACATAGAAGAGTGCCTTTAGCTGACATGTTTAGCCAAAGAGCCACCAGTTCGTAATGGGGACTGAGAAGTTGTATAGGTGAACACTTTGAGCTTTTTAGTCGAAAGGAGGAGTAATAATACAGATGGGAAGCAACCCACAGAGGCTGGAAATGAGTGGAAGAAGATGGGTAGATGTCAGGTTGAAGCTTAATCCTTAATACACCAGTATTAGCAGGTCAGGCCTTGGATTGGAGAGATGGTTCAGTGGGTAAAGTGTTTGCCATGCAAGTGTGAGGACCTGTGTTTAATCCCCAGAAGCTACATAAAGCCAGATGCTGTAGCACATCTATACTCCTGGCACTCTTACAGCAAGATGGGAGGCAGGGACAGGATAATTCCCAAGGATTTACGGTAGGCCAGCTAGCTTGGATTACACAGTAGCAAACAAGAGATCCTGTCTTAAACAGGTGGAAGGTGACCTCCTCATGTGCCCTGTGGCATACACACACACACACACACACACACACACACACACACACACACACATTAAAATAAGAGAACAAAAAAAAGAGGGCAGTCTTAAGCCAGGTGTGGTGATGCATGCCTTTAATCCCAGCCCTCAGGAGGCAGAGGCAGGCAGATCTCTGTGAATTCAAGGACAGTCTGGCCTACATAGTGAGTTCTGGGGCTACAAGGGTCCCCTTTCTCAAACAAAGAGGGCAGTCTTTAGGGTTAGGACTTGAGAGATTTTCATTTGTGAATGGAGAGGCTTGAGTTCACAGTTCACCCTTTCCATTCTTTCCACCATGTGATGGCATTGTCCATTTCCCCTCTCCAGAAAGTGCTTAATAAGGCAGCATCTTAGATACACAAAGCAGCCCTCCCTAGTCACCAAGCCTGCTAACCCCTTGATCTTGGACTTCCCAGTCTCCAGAACTGAGTCAAAATTTTAGTGTTTATAAAATACTCAGTTGAAGGGTATTTTATCACAGCAGAAATTGACAAGGACAGGGACCTAGGAGTGAGGGACAAAGAGAAAGTGGGGTAGGCACTTGGGATTGTGGGTATTAGTATACAGCTGTGAGAGTGACCAAAACCAGCATCTGGGGTTGGAACCTGCAGACTAGCACACTGGAGACTTCTCTGACCAAGGAAAGGCAGCTTGCCTGCAGGTGCCAAGGGAAGCCACAACATGGCTGAGAGACAGGGGCCCACAGCAGCTGTTCCTCCAGGAGCTCTGTGTTTTCTGTTAAAACCAGAACACAATGTCATGAGATTTGGCCTTTATGCTAAGGAATCCTCGTGTGAATTTTTTCATTCAAATCCTTTACTTAAAATGTATTTCTTTTATATATTTTTCATTTAATATTTTTATATTTTTATGTGTATGTATGTATTGCCTGCATGTAGGTAAGTGCACCCATGTTGTGCAATGCCTGCAGAGGACAGAAGCGGCTGTCAGATCCTCTGGGACTGGAGTTGCAGACAGTTGTTAGCTGCCATGTGGGTGCTGGGATCCAAACCCGGGTCTTCTACAAGAACATTCAGTGCTCTTAACCACTGAGCCATCTCTCCAGCCCCTTAAAATGTATTTCTAAAGCTGGAGAGATGGCTCAGCAGTTAAGAGCACTGGCTGCCCTTGCAGAGGACCTGGGTTCGATTCCCAGCACCCACATGGCAGCTAACAACTGTCCGTAACTCCAGTTCCAGGGGAGCTGACTCCCTCTTCCAACTCCTGTGTGCACTGCACTGCACAACATGGTTGCCTTTACATACATGCAGGCAATACACTCATACACATAAAATAAAAATAATAAATAAAACATATTTTAAAAAAAAAACAATTTTGGTCATGCCATGAATGTCTGGACTGTATTCTATGATGTTCTGGATCTTGGGAAGTGTTCCTCAGATGCAAGATTTTAATTTCATAAGGATGGGTCCTTAGAGGTCAAATCAGGAATGGCCACCCAAGCTATTCTGCAACTTCCGAAAGAAATTCTTTCATAGCAAGACCATTCTTAGTCTGCATATATATGAATATCACCCCACTCTACCCTGTCATCAGTGTAGATTCCTCTCATTTGGTGGGAAAGGGTAATGCAAGGCAAAGTATATCACATCTCACTGTGAGCTATCCTTTCTCCAGAAGCTAGTAAGCTTTTTCAGTAAACAGTCAGCTTTTCAAGACAAGACACAAATTTCTGATATTATCTAGGTCTTTCCATAGTAAGGGAAAATAAAATTTCATTTATAAAACACAGAGTGCTTGGTGTGCCTTTAATCCCAGCACTTGGGAGGCAGAGGCAAGTGGATTTCTGAGAGTTCAAGGCCAACCTGGTCTACATAGAGAGTTCCAGGCCAGCTGGGGCTACAGGGAGATTCTGTCTCAAAAAGACCAAAAAAAAAAAAAACCCACAAAACAATCAAGGGTAGATTTGTACTACCTGCATAGTAATGAGAAAAACTTATTTTTGGCTTTTTTGTTGATTGTTTTTGAGAGAGTCTCCCTAGTCACAGGCACCTGGAAGTCACGATGTGAACTGGTGTGGCCTCCATCTCACAAAGATCCACCTGCCTCTGCCTCCCGAAGGCTAGGATTAAAAGCACACACCACCATACCTGGCAACATAAAATTGTTACAGCATGATAACATTTTTATAATTAGAGTTTGAAGGCAGTGTTCCTTCTTAGCACATCAACTTTAACTCTAAAGTTGATTATGGACCCTTTGTTCTTGGGCAAACTTGCTAAGACCTTGGCTCCCAGTGCTTTAATTCCAATTTTATCTAAGCAAGTCAGAGAAAGGAAAATTTCCAGCCTTAAGAATGCTCATTATGTTCATTTACCCATTCATTTAGTGAACATTTTTCAATGAACATTTATCAAGCACACACTACATGCCAGGTGCTGTATGAAGTATAAGTACCCCAAGAGAAGGATGCCCTCTCTGCAGCCACAGTCTAGTGGGTAACCCACTGATGCTGTCCTAGAAATGTGTGGAACAAAGAAGAAGCAATGTTCAAGTTATTGACCTACATTTGTGAGTTACAAAACCAAAGATGAGTCTGGGAAATCCTAAATTCAATATACAACTAATGGTAAAGGTAGTTGTTTTAAAAGAATACACTAAACTTTTTTCAGTCAAATTTTCTCCCCATTTTATCTCTATTTCCCCTAAGCCTGGTCACCAGATCCCTACAAATAGCCATACACATAAATATATACCACTTCACAAAAATAGGATGTATGAGTTGTATTAAAATCACTTTATAAAAGGCTTTTCCCCCAATTTCAGTTTTCCAATTTTAAAACACAGTCGATAAATGATTTGGCAACAGTTGAGAAATCACAAGTTCCTTTCTTCCCATATAAACTTCTGCAAATCTCACACTAGATTCTGCTGATGGTAAAGCAACCTATTTCAGGAAGTTCACCAGTGCCTTCTCTTCACACACCTACTTCACGGAGGGGAACATTATGTACTGATACCGCAAGTTATAGAAACAGAAGTTGGAAAGGACCTCAGTCAGAAAGGGGTAAGCTGTGCCAATTCTTGTCTCGGGGCTCTCCAGCAAAATCTGGTTTGTGATCCAGAAATCCGGACAAATTAGAAGCAGAAGTCTAAGGATTATAATAACCCACAGTGAACGCAAGGTAGGTGGATCGTCTGTTGAACCTGTGTGGAGGTTAATATGAAGTAATTAGAGAGTAAATTTTGAAAATGGAATGCAGTGATAATCTTATCATTTTGGTGAGGCAAACTAGAGCATTCCAAGATAGAATTTGGGATGATATATTGTTTTCTGGCTCTCCTAGAACAATGGAATGGATGTAAAAGGGGAGGGAAAAGTCTTTACTTTGTGATTGCTATAGAACAGAATAAGTTCTCTCCCTTTACAGATATGAATCAGTTCCCATAGCCTACTGACAACTGAACTTATCTACTAAATGTTTCAAATTCAATAGCAGTGGCTACTTTTCTTGCTCAGAGTTTTAAAGCAATGTCCTACTACATCTATAATTATTGTCTCACATTGTCTAAATATAGCAGGTGATCGGTTTCTATTATTGTCAAAAAAGTATCAGATTGAAAAGCAAACTACAGGTCTTCCTGAATATTTTCAAGACAATTCAATGAAGTTTAAAAGCAATTGAAAAGGCAGATTCCAAAAGAATCTCATGCAAATTGATGATATATTTTTCCAAACATTTAGTGCTTATTAAACTCCCTAGAGGACATTTTGACAACAGTTTATGTTTAATTTATTGGAAGTTAATTTTTATACTCACTGTCCATTATGGATCTTGAAGATCAATTCATTTTGCACTAAAATTTTATGATGCTTACAAAATCACTGCACTGGGCTAAATAGGATTGGACCAGATAGGCAAATGACACATACGACACTGGAAATGATACCTATAATACTCAACATAAATGCATCATAAGCAATTAGAATATAGACTAGTAAGACAGATAAAGTAAGCTTGTGAAAATGCTCAGCTCTCTCCCATTAGTTGCAGGTGGAAGTCAAGGACATCTTGCTACAAATTGGCATCCTGGGCTAAATAGGATTGGACCAGATAGGCAAATGACACATACGACACTGGAAATGATACCTATAATACTCAACATAAATGCATCATAAGCAATTAGAATATAGACTAGTAAGACAGATAAAGTAAGCTTGTGAAAATGCTCAGCTCTCTCCCATTAGTTGCAGGTGGAAGTCAAGGACATCTTGCTACAAATTGGCATCATGGAACAAATCTTAGGGAAAAAAAAAAAACTGTTGCCCAAGTTGAACCCCAGACATAAAACAGTGTCTTGTGGTGTATCTGGGCATTGGTAATTTGCAAATTTTTCTTATCTTCAATGTGCCACAACAGCTAAGAAACATTGTCTCACTCTAATACCTCCAGTTTTTGGTCTTTTTATTAAGAAGCACAATCTTTTTGTGGAAGTGGGAGAGAAGACCCTGGAAAGCCCTGACACTTGTTTGCTAGTCCCCTTGGTTTGATTTCAGAAAGCAAAATAGAGGCCCCAAGTCTACTCTGACAGGCTGCGTCCATGGATAATGGTGATGGCAGTTGATGGAGTCCATTCTCCTCTTTCAGTCATTGCTTCTCATTCTTTCAAGCAATAATCCTAAAACTTCTGAAACTGATGAGAGAGAAGGTGGGTTCTGGGGAAGCTCAGGCTCAGGGAATGTCTTCGGTTAGGAAGTCATGATCCATGGTTAGTTACTGAAACTCAATTGGATGTTATCACCAAGTACATCTTAGTGACCCCCTACAGGGTCCATTCAGTGGATCATTATACCAAAGTCTTTCTAATTTCAACTGAGTTGTGAAATAGAGTTGAAGGATTTGCTGTTTTTACTCTGTGTTGTGTTCACGTCTGTTCGTGGATGGATGTGGGTGCACCTGTGTGTGCAAGCACAATTGCACATGTGTTTGTTTGTTCCTTAAGTGATGGTCACCTTATTTTTTGAGACAGGGTCCTCACATGCCTGGAACTCATCAAATAGGATAGTTTGACTGTCCAGTGAGCCCCAGGGATCCACCGTCTCCGCCTCTCTAGCACTGTGATTATAAGCATGGCACCCAGATTGGTTTTGATATGGGTAGTAGGAATCAAACTTAATTCAAAACTCAAATCATGTTTTCTAAGGCAAACATTTCATCAACTGCCATTACCACATCACCACAGCCAAATTTGCTAGTTTTAAACCATAAGCTCTAATATATGGCTGTTCAGGGATATAAACAGAGGATTGGGAATGTCAGGGAAACTCTCTGTGGTATAGCCTGATCAGCAGAAATAGGCAAAGTGAAAAATCTTCCCCAGCACTTGGATCCTGTGGGCTTGAGATATGGCTCTATATTTGCTCATTGCTGAGACTGATTGTTCTCTATTTCCCCTTAGGTTCCAGTCTGAACTCTCTAACCACCTGAGCATATTGACACTGTTTCAGTTCTTCCAACTCATTTGTGAGTGACCTCTCAAAGCAAGTCAGTTTCCAAATCTGGGAATCAGAGGCTTATGATAGCACCCATTTCATTGATATTTATGATCATGAGAAGAGCAGATGCATGATTTGTACTTGCCTCATGGTAAAGTCCTTCATGATCCAAATGGCATACATTTTCATTTTTATGAGAAATGAGGAGCCATAGGCGCACTTAACGGCATCATGCTTTCACCTGTCCTCCAAAGCTTTTCATGAATCCATCAAATTTCTGAGAGATAAAGTATCTACTGTGGACCATGTGAGGTTTGTTTTGGCCTTATCTAGGGGTGCTGCTGCCTTAGTATTCATGCAATTAGGATTTTCCCACCCACAGCCCACCAGACCAGCAGTGCACTGGTGTTTTCAAAGGGCTTTTTAGATGTCAATTAGAGCACACTATACAAAGGAAGATTTGAGTGAGAGGTAAGAAGTAAAACACCTTGGGTTGCTTAGTGCCTTCAGGAGAACTACAGACTGTGTACCATGGATTAAGCCACTGTGCAGATTATGCACAGAACAGAAAATAGGGAATGAACAAGCTGTGAATGCACTTCCAGACTCGTGACAGTTGCATTTGGTAGACAGAGGGGAAGTTAAGCCGTTTTCTTTCTCCCCATTATTTTGTGTTGTCATTCATGACTCAGACTTTCTTTAAAAATGTAAGTTTCGTTTTTCTCCAGTTGACACAAGACAACACCCAGTAAATACTTTGAGCCCTGCAGCCCCAATCCTCCTCCTCGGAGACTCTAGGCAGCCAGCTCATGGGTGTGATTGTCCTGGCAGTGGGTCCACAGAAGCATTCTTATTTATTCCCTATCGGGTTCCCATATAACAAAGTGTCACAAGTTTGAGGTCTTGAATAGAAGAAATATATTTTTTCATAGTTCTTGAAGGGAGAAAAACAAAATCCAGGTGGTATAGGCAGAGTTGGATTCTTTGTGGAGACTCTGAAGCGAAACCTCAGAAATGGCCAGGAGCACCACGAAGCTGAGCATTTGGGATAAATAATCTCTTAATGTTATCATTTAAAAAAGAAATCACGGGGCTGGAAAGATGGCACAGCAGTTAAGAACACTGACTGTTCTTGCAGAAGACCCAGGTTCGGACCCCAGCACCCACGTGGCAGCTAACAACTGTCCATGACTCCAGTTCCAGGGAATCCAACATCCTCTTCTTTCCTCTGAGGGCACTGCACAACACGGGTGCACTTACCTACATGCAGGCAATACACACATACACATAAAATAAAAATAATAAATAAAAAAGATTAAAAATAAAAGTAGGGGCTGGAGAGGTGACTCAGAAGTTAAGAGCACTTGTTGCTCTTCCAGAGGACCATTATCAGCAACCATGACTTGTGGCTCACAACTGCCTGTAACTCCAGGTCCAGGGGATCCCATGCCCTCTTCCGGCTTCCTCCAGGTCCCATACACATGTAACATATGCTCACACAGACAAACACGAATACATGTAAATATAAATAAGAATGAAATATTTTAAAATAATAAAAATGAACATTTTAGACACCAACACAAATCAGGCCAGGTGTGATGGCATGTATCTAAATCCCAGCACTGAGAAAACTGATGCAGGAGGATCACGAGTCCATCGTCAGTCTGTGCTACAGAGTGAGAACCTGTCTTAAAGGGAAAACAAAAATAAAAACAAATTAAAATCAAAATGTCAGCAAACCTTAGCCTTTAGCCCAAATCTGTTTTTGTGAAGAAAGCTCTATTGGAAACACAGCCAGCCTAAAGGGAAACAAGAAGAAAGGGGAAGAAGGAGAAAAGGAAGAGGAATAGGAAGATGAAAGACCATAGGAGAAGGGAAGGATAAGAGAAAGAGGGTGGAAGAGGGAAAGGAGGAGGGAAGAAAGACGTCAGGGAAGAAGAGGAAGAAAAAGCAAAGGAGAAGGGAAGGTGCAGATAAAGAAGAGGATGGAGCAGGGCGTGGTGGCACATACCCTTAAATCCAGAACTCAGGAGGAGGCAGAGGCAGGCGGATGTCTGTGAGTTCAAGGCCAGCCTGGTCTACATAGTGAGTTCCAGGACATGGGGAGGAGGGAATGTGACGAATAAGGAAGAGGCAGGGAAGAAGAGGAGAAGAGGAGAGAGGAAGGAGGAGAGAGAGAGGAAAAGAGAAGAGACGAAAATTGAAGGGCACACAGAGAGGAGAGGAGTGAAGAAGAGAGGAGAAAAGGAGAGGAGAGAGGAGGGCTGGAACAGAAGAGAGGAGAGGACAGGAGAGGACCAAGGACGACAGGAGATTCTCAGTACATCTGGGATTCAGATTCTCTTTGATATCCTCTTGGAAGAACGTTACCGAAGGGATGCAGCTCTTGCTAGGTTTTTGGTGTCTGCTCTCCCTCTCTCTAAAACTTCAGAGGAGTGCAGTATGCTCTGCTGGGTGATGTTTGATGGCAGTCCCGTGAACTACAACTGAGTACTCTGGAAAATGAGCAGAGGCAATCAGCTGAAACTCCCTGAGGCCCTGTGCGGAGTGCAGAGGTCTGAACAATCAAACATTTCTCCTCAGCTTTTTTGTTAGCCACTGCTCGCCATTTGATGCACTTTTTAAATTTAGGTTATTTAGAATTTCTCAATTCATATTCTTACCTCAGAGCATTTTTAGGAGGCTGCCATGAGAAACGTTAAGCTCTTCACTCAGGAATCTCTCGAATGTTCCATTTATTTCTCTGACACATAATTTACATGACCGGTTACTTCAGAATCTCTGGGTGACCATTTCCATCCTAAAAGAACTTTGAGTGATGCTCAGTAAACTCCTATGTTGGTATCTAGCAGTTCCTAGAGTTTTTTTTTTTAACTCTCAATTGATCTGCTGTGTATGAAATAGACAATTGTATTAGAACTTAGATGTAGAAATATTAATTTGAGAAAAGTGGGGCCACAGAAGAGGGGGCCTATTTTGTGGATTCCCTGAGGATGCCAATAGTGATTGTGATCATGCTCTATTACCTTGCAAAAAAAAGGTGTGGAGTCTGACTTTACCATGACACATCTTCCCCCATAGCCTTCTTTATATTTTTTAAATGTTTTAGTTAAAAGTTGTGATAAGGGGGCTGGAAAGATGGCTCATCAGTTGAGACCACTGGCTACTCTTACAGAGGACCCAGGTTCAATTCCCAGCACCCACATGGCAGTTAACAACAATTCTTAACTCCACTTCCAGGGCAATCCAACACCCTCTTCTCAACTCCATGGGCAATGCAGGACACAGGTGCAGTTACATACATGCAGGCAACATACTCATCCACATAAATAAAATAAAATAAAATAATATTCACATTCTATTTTTGTATAAGTTTTGTTAACATATCCTGGTCTATTTTCTATTCATAAGGGGTTCATAAGGGGTCTCTGTATATTGTGTATGTATTAAATACAAATGGATAGATAAAACAGACAAGGAATTCTAGAAATAGTTACAGAATGCAAGAAAGTTGTACATGATACAAATCAGGCAACAGATCACTCAGCAAATGATGCTGAGCCAACTGGGTCTCCATTTAGAAAAGAATAATGTAAGTCTATATCTCACATCCATGCCAAAAAATTCTAGTGGGGTAATATGTTTCAATGTGAGAAAATGAAATCATAAAATTATTAGAAAAAGATAGGAAAATTGTTGTATACAGAACTGAAGTGTGGAAATCTACCCAAGCCCCACAAATGTGTCAAATCCCTCTCTTTTCAGGCTCTTATAGTATCAAGTACTTCTTTTTTTAATCACAGGTGATATTTTGTACTGTTTTTACATTCAACTCATGTCTGCTTATGCAGAGAATTGAAAAGTAACGAATCAAATGGAGTCCCTGGACCACTCACCAGGTGGTAAATCAAAGAAGTATGAAAGAATGACTTTCCATTCTGATAATACTCAGATTGGAATTCATGCAGGTTTAGCTCTCCCTAGGTCCCTGGGTTAGCCCCAAATTTGCTTGCATTCCAGAGCTTAGTTACCCCTTTGATGTCTCTTGGTGAAAGCACGTTGAACCTATGCTACTTCTGCAGTGTCGTGTGTTTTCAAAGCTTTGGTCATCTTATGTTGTTGTTTTGAGATAGGCTCTCATGTAACCTAGATTGGTTAGGAACTGGCCTAAGTCAATGTTGATTTCGAACTCCTGAACTTCCTACTTCCACGTCTTGATTGTTAGGATTACAAAAGCCTGTGTGCCACCACCCTGCATTAGGCAGTGCTGGGTATCAAACCCAGGGTCCTCTGGCATGCTAGACTGAGACTATACCAACTGAGCTACATCCCCAGCTAAAGACCTCTTATGAACACATTTTCTAGTTGTATTAACGTTCCATTGCTGCATAACAAATAATCTGCAAGTTTAGAGATTTCAAACGAGGTTTATTTGCTTGCTTAGAGAGGAAAGCTCAGTTTGACCAACACCCTGATTTCCATCTTCGTAAACGTGGAACACAGAGCTCAGGAAATCCTGTGAAGATGCTAACCATGAATCTCTTGATTGAATTGTCAAAACTCTTTGATGATTGAAGGCACATATTCTTCTTAGAAAAATTGAAAGTGGAGGCAGAGTATCAGAGTAGTAAAGTACCTCTGTTATCATGGAATGTGACAGTCATTGAAATCATGCATCGCTGTTAGCAATGAATTCAGTCCTCTATATTTAAGTATTTTAGAGAAATAGTCATGCCTTCCTTAGAAAAGTTTCAAAATTAGCAATCAAACAGCTATTGACGCCAATGTTTATATGAGCGGTAGTCCATAATTTCTTAGTGTTGTCTACATTTGAGGTGCTGCTCTGACATATAGATTTCAGAAGGAAATTACGGAGTATGACAGTCAGTGGTTAAAAAACATATTATATAATTGGCTCAAGTCCCAGCACAAATATGTGCCATGATTCTCTTGGGAGACAGAAGGCCTCCGGGGCAAGCTGGCTAGCTACACTAGACGAATTGGCAAGCTCTATGCTCAGTGAGAGACACCATTTCAGGAAGTAAAGTGGAAAACGAGTAAGGAAGACAACTGGAGCCAACCTATTGTCTCCACATGCACATGCACACACATGTATATGCACCAGCACAGGCCTGTACCTGCAAACAGGAATTCCCCATATGCATGCACACTATGTACACATATGCACACAAAAAAAATTATACCAATAGGTTGATGCTAAAATACATATCACTGTGAACCTTATATGACCCATAGCTGTGCTCCATCTCTCCAACTCAATGTGATGGAAGAACATCTTGATTGATTCCTCTGCAAAAGCTTCCTGTCATCATATCTCAAATAGCTTCATCCTCAACTTCTTTCAGCCCTCTAGAAGTTAAGAATGTACAATTGCTCTGAATGTAATTTCATGCCATCTGTTTAGCTATTAGCAGAATTTCCCGCTTCAAAACTCAGATAAATATAATGAACCACTGTTCATTTTGCCATGAGATACTCAGCAAATATTGAGACTCTAATATTGTACTTCCGCTTCTGATTTTTCTTAGGAAAACATGTCCCTTCAGCCATCAATTCTGACCTGCCTTTTCCTGCTCACCTCTGGAACCCACGAATTTTTCCTCAAAGCAAATTATTCTAGAAGCTATCCCTGTGATGTGAAAAGGCAAAATAGCTCTGTGATTGCAGAATGCAATGATCGTCGACTGCAAGAAGTTCCCCAAACAATAGGAAACTACGTGACAGAACTAGATTTATCTGACAATTGCATCACACATGTAACGAATGAATCATTTAAAGAGTTGCAAAACCTCACCAAAATAAATCTCAACCACAATGCCAATCAACAGCACCAGGATGAAAATAAAGACAGCATGAATATTACAGATGGGGCATTCCTCAACCTAAAAATCCTAAAGGTATTACTGCTTGAAGACAACCAGCTACGTAATATGCCCACTGGCTTACCCAAGTCTTTGACAGAACTTAGTCTCATTCAAAACAATATAGCTTTGGTAACTAAAAACAATACTATGGGGCTTGTGAACTTGGAACGTCTTTACTTGGGCTGGAACTGCTACTTTGTTTGCAATAACACCTTTGGCGTGGAAGATGGGGCATTTGAAAATCTTACAAACTTGAAGATACTGTCACTATCTTTTAATAACGTTACCCATGTGCCACCCAAACTACCAAGCTCCCTAACGGAACTTTTCCTGAGCAATGCCAAGATAAAACACATCACTCAAGAAGATTTCAAGGGACTGAAAAATTTAAGATTACTAGATTTAAGTGGAAATTGTCCGAGGTGTTTCAATGCACCATTTCCGTGTACGCCTTGTGACGAAGGCTCAATTACTATAGATCCTAATGCTTTTCAAAGCCTGACTGAACTTCGCTACTTAAACCTATCTAGCACTTCCCTCCGGAAAATTCATCCTACCTGGTTTGACAATATGCATAAGCTGAAGGAGCTGCATCTTGAATTCAACTATTTGATGGAAGAAATTGCCTCTGGGGAATTTTTAACAAAACTATCCAAGTTGCACATCCTTGATTTATCTTTTAACTATAAAAATAAAGAGTATCCACAATATATCAATATCTCCAAAAATTTCTCTATGCTTCGGTCTCTTAAGGCACTGCACTTGAGAGGTTATGTGTTCCAAGAACTTAAAAAGGAACATTTCTCTCCGCTCAAGGATCTTCCACATTTAACTACTATCAACTTGGGTATTAACTTTATTAAGCAAATTGATTTTACCCTTTTCCAAGATTTTCCCCATCTGAAAATTATTTACTTATCAGAAAACAGAATATCACCTTTGGTAAATGATATGAAGCAAAATTTTACAAATGGCTCCTCTTTCAGACATCATATCCTTAAGTCACGATCAACAGATACAGAGTTTGATCCACACGCAAATTTTTATCACAATACCAGACCTTTAATAAAGCCACAGTGTACTCGTTATGGCAATGCCTTGGATTTAAGTTTAAATAGTATATTCTTTATTGGGAAGAAGCAATTTGAAGGTTTTCAGAACATCAGCTGTTTAAATCTATCATCCAACGGCAATGGCCAAGTGTTGCGTGGCACAGAATTTTCAGCTGTACCCCAAATCAAATATTTGGATTTAGCCAACAACAGATTAGACTTTGATGATAACAAAGCTTTCGACGACTTGGACAACTTAGAAGTGCTAGATCTTAGCCACAATTCACACTATTTCAGGATTGCAGGAGTCACACACCGTCTAGGATTTATTCAGAATTTAGCACACCTCAAAGTTTTAAACCTGAGCTACAATAGCATTTACACTCTAACAGAGGACAGTCCACTGAAAAGCACATCCTTGGAAGAACTAGTTTTCAGTGGAAACCGCCTGGACTTTTTGTGGCGTGCAGATGATAACAGATACTGGTCCATTTTTAAATGTCTTTATAACCTGACATTCCTGGACTTATCTTACAATAACCTTCAACAAATCCCAAATGAAGCATTCCTTAACTTGCCCCAGAATCTTGTGGAACTACATATCAATGATAATAGGTTACATTTCTTTAACTGGTCATCACTCCAGCATTTTCCTCATCTCAAGTTGCTTGACTTACGCAGAAACAAACTGTATTTTTTAACTAATCACCTATCTAAATTTACATCTCTGCAGACGCTGCTGCTGAGTCATAACGAGATTTGTCACCTGCCCTCTGGCTTCCTCTCTGAAGCCAGTAGTCTGGTGCACCTTGATCTAAGTTACAACCTGATAAAGATGATCAATAAATCCACATTGCAGACTAAAACCATCACAGCTTTATCTATTTTGGAACTAGGTGGGAACCCTTTTGACTGCACCTGTGACATTGGAGATTTTCGAAGATGGATGGATGAGAATCTGCATATCACAATTCCTAGACTGGTAGATGTCATATGTGCCAGTCCTGGGGACCAAAGGGGGAAGAGTATCATGACTCTAGAGCTCACAACTTGTGTTTCAGATATCATTGCAGCAGTCCTGTTTTCCTTCACATTCTTTCTCACCTCCATGGTTATGTTAGCTGCCTTGGTTCACCATCTCTTTTACTGGGATGTTTGGTTTATCTATAACATGTGTTTAGCTAAGGTGAGAGGCTACAGGTCTCTTTCCACATCCCAAACATTCTATGATGCTTATGTTTCTTATGACACCAAAGATGCCTCTGTTACTGACTGGGTAATCAATGAGCTGCGCTACCATCTTGAAGAGAGTGAAGACAAAAATGTCCTCCTTTGCTTAGAGGAAAGGGATTGGGACCCAGGATTAGCCATCGTCGATAACCTCGTGCAGAGCATAAACCAGAGCAAGAAAACAATATTTGTTTTAACCAAACAATATGCCAAGAACTGGAGCTTTAAAACAGCTTTCTATTTGGCCTTGCAGAGGCTAATGGATGAGAACATGGATGTGATTATCTTTATCCTCCTAGAGCCAGTGTTACAGCACTCGCAGTACTTAAGACTGCGGCAGAGGATCTGTAAGAGCTCTATCCTCCAGTGGCCAGACAACCCCAAAGCAGAAAGCTTGTTTTGGCAAAGTCTGAAAAATGTGGTCTTAACCGAAAATGATTCACGGTATAACAATTTGTACATTGATTCCATTAGGCAGTACTAATGCTGGGAAGTCATGATGACTCCACACTGTTATAAAAACACAAAGTTTCTCTTTGCAATGAACTGCAGTGAGTGCAGAGACCCATCGTTGCTCAAGGTGTGCAGAGTAAGCAATAGTTGAGTGTTCATCCCTAAAAAGGACACTTAAACATATCACCTTCTCCAGGGCTCAGGTCATTATGTAGAATAGGGGGTGGAAGATAGGGAGAAGGGCTGGAAAATGCTGACTTCTGAGCATGACACAGCCATTACAGTCATGATCTCACAGCAGCTAAGTTTGCCTCCACTGGGTCTGCATAAGACTGGGTTTCTCATCAGTCAATCACGGTCAGTTGAGGGACTCATGGGGCCATACTCCACCCTACTGAACTATAGGCTACTGTGGATGCTAGGAATGAGCCAGTCACTATCTTCAATTGTGTGGGTACTGGTGAGTACAGGAGGTGTTAATGGATGTTTCTAAACCCATGGTCACATAGACATTCCTGGTTGAACTCAGTGGGTCACAAAACAAAAGAAAAAAACATGAATGTGAGAAAGGTACTTTTAAGGAGAAGGGGAAATTGGTTGGGGCCCTCTGCTGCAGGGTCTCTCAGAGACTTCACTAAGGAGGCCATTCTTAAGCACGTATTCCTTAAGTTTAGATCTACTTCTAAGCTCACCCCCACATGATTTTCCTTAAGATTCAGTTCCTCCTGGGTGTTAGTCAATGGCTGCTCTCAGCTGCCTGCTACGTGGACCACTCCCACAAGGCAGCTTGCTTCATGAAAACTGGAGAGAGAGAGAGAGAGAGAGAGAGAGAGAGAGAGAGAGAGAATACTAGCAAGAGTAAACCATAGTTTTTGAAATCTGACCCAACAAATTATAGCCCAGCACTGTGCCCATATTCTATTTGCTGAAAGTCAACCACAGATATTACCAGTTTCAGGGAATAAACATGGCAATTCAGGGAAAGCTGATAAAGACTAAGGTTTGTAAGCATCTTGTCTCAGTGAGTCACCAACCATTTCCTTGGACTGAGATTCAGGGACAGCCTGCCATTTTTGTCTTAGATTGTCAATACTTGGAAAGTGAGATCATTGTGGGCCATGTTATTGGGCAGTCTACCTCACCTGTTTCTCAATAGCAAAGAACTTTTGCCAATATAACTACCGATACTGATATTAAGATGTTGCTTATATCATAATATATCCATGCCTATGGGGTTATATTATACTGTGATTGTGGGGACCTAATAGCCCCACCTTGCATAGGTCCAAAGGAAGTTACTGGGGGTGTGGCCTGGCTTGCTTTGAAAGTCTGAAGAATACTTCAGACTGCTGAGGAGTGCATGATCAGCCCGTGACCATCCTTAAGATATACCCTCAGGGGGGAGGGGGGAGTTCCAGGTGCCTTTATAAGCTTTGTAACACCTGCAATAAATGAGTCTCTGCCTGACTAAGGCTCCCCGTTGCGTCTGAGTGTCCCCTGGTAATGGGGGCAGTGTGGGCTGGTGAATGGAGTGCTTACTCAACCCCAATCCTCACCTTGCCAGGGGTCGCTGGTTTGAACCCCTGGCATCTGGTGCCCAATGTGGGGCTCAAAAAAAAAAAGTAAAAAAAAAAAAAGCAAACACGGATTGGGGCCAATCGAGGAGGTTTGGGGTAAACAAGACCCTAAAAATGGGTAACGCAATTTTTAAGTTTAAAGACCCAGCACTTAAAGTGCTGAGGGATATGCTTAAAAGCAGGGGATTGGATTTGTCAGATCCCATAGCTCAAAAGGTTTGGGCAGAGGTGATTCATTTGGCTCCCTGGCTACTTGGGGCTAATCTTTTTACTGGGAATACATGGAAACATGTAAAACATCTAGCTCGACAAAGGGAGGTTCAATTGGGGGTTGATCCGCTGCTGGAGTTCTACCCTATTATTTCGGCCTTAAAGGCATGCTTTTGTCCAGAGAGCCCTAAGCCCTCGGTGCTACCTCCTGACGAGCCTTCACAAACCCCAACATAGAAATCATGAAAAGGGTTTGAGAAAGAAGACAAAAATACAACAGAAGTAAATCCAAAAGCAGCCAAAGTAACAAGCTGCACCTCTGGCGTGCCCTGGCCAGCTTCAGAGCCTCCTGGGCAGAAGGGCAGGGCAGAGCAGAGCACACAGGGTCAGTGGCAAAAGGCGCCCACCCCACCCACCTTGAACTAACGTGTGCGAGCGGGCCGCCCCCTGGCTGGCAACCGGTGGGAGTCAGGGGCTCACGTGACCTCAGCCTACACAAATCAGGGGCTCATGGGAAAGCTGGGCAGATCCAAACAAACAAACAAACAAACAAAAAAAGACCTTTGGCTGTGTGCCAAGACAGGCTCCAGAACAGCTGAAAAGGCCTGGGGAAAGGTGGCTCGGGGAGGGGCCCTGCCCCTTCAGTTCCGTGGGTGTTCAGGGAACCACCCTGCCCCTGAGTGCTACAGGCCCTGCTGACAGCAGCACTTGCCAAATCCCAGACTGAGGGAGCCCTTAGTAAAGCCTACAAGGTTTTCACTGACTAGGGCAGATGTGGAGAAACCAAAAAGCAGCTCAATTCAAGGAACTCATGGCCATTGTTTTCTGACAGTATTCAGACTCGTAAGGTCCTTAAAGAGAGAGAAAACCCAATCTTCTTGCAACATCTAAGGGGGCACCAAGGATTGCCTGGGCTTTTATCCCAAGGCAGTGCAGAGGCAGACAAGGTGGCTTACTGCCTCTGCAACAGCCAGGGGTGAGCCCCAGGGGACTCAAGCCAAATTCCTTATGGCAAACAGATACACACAAACGTTATAAACCATCCTTAACTCCAGTTCCAGGGGAATCTAATGCCCTCTTCTGACTCCTTGGGCATTAGAGGAGGCAATACACTCATATACATAAAATAAAAAAAATAAAATATTAAAAAAAAAGTATTGGTGAAGAATCGCTTTCTATAAATAAAGCCAAAAAAAAAAAAAAAAAAAAAAAAAGAAGCCCCTATTTTCTTGCAACATCTTAGGGGACACCAAGGATTGCCTGGGCTTTTATCCCAAGACAATACAGGGGCAGCAGGTACCGCCTCTGCAACAGCCAGGGGTAAACCCCAGGAAACTCAAGTCCAATTCCTTATGGCAAACAAATGTCACACATTATGCTCCTTTTGAAAAGCTTAAGTATATTTTTGTGTCCATCCACACATCCTCACACGCTTCTTGGGCTACCACTCATATCAGAGAAAAGTCTAAACATACTCAGTCTCATTTTCTCCAGTGCTTTGCTATGTTGGGATTGCCCAAAATAATTAAAACTAATAATCGACCATGTTTTGTGAGTAAAAATTTACAAGATTTCTTCTCACTTTGGAAAATTAAACACAATACAAAAATTCCCTAAAATCCCCAAGGTCAAGCCATTATAGAACACAACCATCAAAACCTAAAAATTCAATTACAAAAACAAAAAGGGGGAATAAGCCCCCACCAAAAGTTAGCTATGGCCTTATTCACTATTAATGTTCTTAATTTTCAAAAAAAATCAGTTGA